CCTTTCAAACATTCTGCTTTTTGAAGCTTCTGTCAGTTCCATCATTGTTGTATTCCCCTCGTTTTTTCTTTTAGCATCTTGAGGAGTTTTTTTCAATATTGTTTTACTTCTTCTTTTTAAGTATTCTCTTCCATAATAATCTTGTATAATCTTTTTCTCACCCTCATTACCAAAAACAAGTCTGTCCCTCTTCATTTATCAATTGATTAACCCTTTTTGATTCTCAGTTTATAAGCCTCAAAATAGTTATGTTTAGTGTTTCTGATTTCTTGTGCTATTTCTTCCTTTTCCATTGATCCCGTTTTATGTTTAATTAAGTCAATTTTAGCTTTGATGTCTTTTTTTTTTTTCTTGCGGGAATTTCTGCAGCTGTTCCAGTTTTTTATAGTCATCCTCGATAGTTTAAAAATCTTTTTCTGCATTATGTTTCTTGTATAGTTTATTATCAAACCTCTTGTATAGGCCTTCATTATGTCAAAAGATTCTTTATCTTTTCCCACCCTCGTTTTGAGGAACAGAATACTTAAATCGGATCCATGCTATGCTAAATGACAGTGCGCCGCTCCTCACGATAACTCGGCCTGAGTGGTTGCAAACACGGGGGCACCTCGTGGTCATCCGAACGATTGCAGCCTAGATTCGGGTAGTTCTATTGTTCCTCTTTGAATTTTTCCCTTGCATAAGATCACCGATTCATGCAGAAATCCTGTTTAGCACCGGCACCAGCAGCCGCCTAGGTTCCTCTCCTTCCCCCCTCAAACCTTTGTTCTGAATGAGCGCTGTGTCACTACAGCGCCTTAACTTAATAACCTTAGGTTGACATGGATTTATGGACGCCATTTTGTATCTTCGGCCTGGGGACTAGGACCCAGAGGGCTCTCCGAGCTTTATTCCTGAGTAAGCGACCTGAAACACCCCTTGAAATATTTCCCGCCCTTTCCTTCTGACAACGGGGGAGGGGGAAGTGAGCCGCAGAGCTCGCTGGTAACATTCGCGTCTCTGCGTGCCCAAACTACAGTACCGCCCACGCTAGCCCCTCCCTTTCTTCCCCCAAGCGGCGGCTCAATTGTGACGTTGCAGGGAGGGATGAATGGAACGCGTTCGAACCCTGAGTTTCCTCCCGACGTAACTTGCTTTCTTCCAGGTTGGCGAAAGCCGCAGGGAATGATGGGAACACACGAGAGGCGGCGCGGGGCGGTGTTAAGAATTCTTTCGGCAACCTGTTGCCCTCTCAGTGGGCAGGCTGGGGAGTTCAGCGCCCGCGGCTGTCTTAATTTATCATGCCGGTTGGGAAATGGTGGGCGTCGAAATCCGGGTCGCAGGGAGAGGAGCTGGTGAAGTGGAGGGTCGGCGGGGTCGAGTTCGGCCTCGGCAGGACATGATGGCCTTTCACCCGGCAGGAAGGGAAAATTATGTATAGAAGCGACAATTAGAGGGGGCGTTGATCCGATAAGAAAGACTGTAGTGAGATTGCTTAAGCAAGACTCACCAGCATTTAGCTGGAGAAACAGTTTAGCGTTATCACATCCCGCCTTTTTCATATACATATATATAAAATCTGGATTAGTAACTAAGGGATTCTAAATATGTACAGAGGGCCTTTGTCTTATCATGATTTAGCATATTTCAGACATCCAAGTGTAGGGACTGAGAGTACACATCTCATGGTCTGAATTTATTTAAATTTGTTTACATTTTCTGAATTTATACATTAAAATTTGGGAGCATGTTCCCCATGAAGTTTTATATCCTTCAATTTGAACTGAGCTCCTGGTAACATCACCATATTTTATCCCCCCCCCCCCCCAAAAAAATAAGTGATTTGTCCTTGGATTCTTCGACTTCGTTTGGTTTTCTTGGTAAAAATACATAGATTGTCCTGGAGAAAATCTATGTGGTTGCTAGGAATCAAAAGCAACCTGATGGCATATAATCCATCTTCAACTTCCAAGTGGAGTGGGCTGCCCCAGGCTTTCCTTGTGGTCTCCTATCCAAGTGCTAATGAGACCCGACTGCTTAGCATCTGGGCCCAAAGAAGTTCAGCCTGCTGCCACCCGCTGAGGCTGTATTGTGGAGACCTGTGTGTGATGTATCTCTATTATGCAACAGGTTATATCGAAGGGCTTGATGGAGTGGTGTTATAAAAACAGCCTGGTTCTAAATGTAGAAAAAACTAAGGAGGTTGTCATAGATTTTAGGAGGAACCGGTGTGGTCACACTCCACTCTTCATAAATGACATGGCTGTGGAGTCAGCAGTGTTAGATTCCTAGGGGTGCAGCTAACGAAGAGTCTGACCTGGTCCCTTAACAGCGCATTCCTGGTAAAACGAGTACAGCAGCGATTGCATTTTCTGCACCGGATGAGGAAAGTGCATCTTCCGTCCCCCATTCTCCTTACTTTCTATAGAGGCACCGTAGAGAGCGTACTTACAAATTGTACTTCCGTCTGGTTTGGGAGCTGTAGTGCCTCAGATAGAAAGTCTGTGCAGAGGGTAGTAAGGGTAGCAGAAAAGATAACTGGGATCTCTTTGACTCCCATCCAAGACCTAGCATATGTCTGGAGCTCGAAAGATCGTCAGTGATGCCTCCCATCCTCATCATGGCCTGTTTTCTTTGTTACCCTCTGGGAAGGGGTTCCGCTGTATTCGATGTAGGACAGCCAGATTGAGTAACAGTTTTGTTTCCCAGGCTGTTAGACTTTTGAATGCTCGCTAAATGTTTTTCTGTTTCTACAGAACGCAAAATGTAATCTGCTGCCAGATGGTAAAAATGTACATTGTATAGTTGTCATGGTATTTTAAATTGTATTTAGTGCCTGATCGAAATTGTGAGTCAATTGAGACGGAATTTCATTCTATTATGCACTTGGTTTGTAGTGTATAGTGAAATTTATTTATTTATTTAGCAGATTTGTCCCTGCCCATTTCCCCCCAACGGGGGACTCTGGGCGGTTTACAACAATTAAAACAAATAAATACATAATTAAAATTTATAAAAAGAAGAAATTTATTTATTTATTTAGCAGATTTGTCCCTGCCCATTTCCCCCCAACGGGGGACTCTGGGCGGTTTACAACAATTAAAACAAATAAATACATAATTAAAATTTATAAAAAGAAAAACACATCTACACAAATGGAAAGAAGAGAAAAAAATCCAAGAGGCCAATGGAAGCCACACCAGGCCTCCAGGGGGCTAGCCAACCCCATTTCTGACAACCTCCCTCCCCACCCCAGGCCAGATGGCAGAG